CAATTAAACTAATTCAAACACACGTAGGTTTTATATAACGATCTTAATCTTAACTATTGTAGAGGTTAAGCGTGTAACTTGAACATTTAATAATATAAACTCATTACAATTGTTGTTGTTGGATTAAATTTATTTTATTTTGCCTTTTGCAATAAATATTATTAACATTTAAATGCAGCAAATGTCTTGATGTCATCGGAGAAAGTGAAAACGATTTCCAGGAAACATTAAACTTATTTCATTTATTTAGTTTTATTTTATTTAACAATATTTGCTGTTTTCAAAACGGACTTAGTTGTTAGGACAATATAAGTGAATAAATAAATCTAAATCTAAGCTATAAATCAATGACAATGATCAAAACTGACCGGGACTAAGACAAACGAAACCAAAAAAAGAAGAAAAAAAAAATGATATTACACTTAGACTCAACTTTATAAACATAACGATCATTGTGCTTAGTGGTTGCTTTAGACTTGACAGCAACAAAAACAACAACAACAAACATATCTCTCTCCCCCATATGTACAGTGTGTTTTTCTTTTCAAAGATGATCATCAATCATTGATTTTCACAAAATTCAAACCATACTAACAACAACAACAACAAGACTACAGCAATTTTTTGTTTTTTTCTTTCTTTAAAGTGACAAACAAAACTGTATAAAGAAAAAAAAAGAAAAGCAACTAAAATAAGAAGAAAAAAAATTACTGTAATTGGCTTGTTTCATTTTAAAACATGTCTAGTTTTCTCTTTGCCACATGAAACAGAAAAACGGCGAAATAAAAAAAAATATAAAAAAAAACTTCAACAACAAAACGAAACAATAATTGTTATTGCGTTTATCATTATTTAATGTGTTGTTGTTGTTGTTGTTGCTGCAGTTACTGTTGCTGGTTTGGTGTTGAAATGACGAGAAAAAAAAAGAAAAATTTTTGCTTTACATTTAAGACGCACTGAGTATTGAAAAGAAAATTTTTTGCTTTTTGAATTTTATGAGACATAAAAATCTTTTATAGAAGAAAAAGAAAAAAAAATACCGAAAATTTTTAAACACACACACACACATCACTAAGCCAGTTTATTTGGTGTTAAAACTATGAAAGTTAAACATAATAAACAGGGTTCATTTAAAATTCGGAGATAGAGAGTTGTTGTTGTCAGGAGTTTGTAAGAAATTTTACTAAAAAACAGCTGATAAACATCTGTTATTGCAATGCTTACGGCCTTTGGTCGAATGTGTACACGTGCTCGAACGCCAGAGCTTTTTGACGGACCCACGTAGAACTCCTTGGTCTTCATAGAGTACAACTAAGTAATCTGGTATCGGGCATTACTGTAAATGTGGCCTTCCATATAATGACTTCGTCAGAATGATGAAGATGAGACAATAACCCATCTTCTCTGTAACTGTCCAGTCCTTGAAATGGCTCGAAATCAAACTCTAGGGTCAAACCACTTCAATGATCGACCTATCCAATGTTCAATTAGACCGACGTATTGCATTTTTGAAGCTGACAAAATGGGTGTGAACTTTAAATTCTCACCCTACGCCTCTATTCAATCACATATTTGTTGCTTATTTTCTCTACTTTCTTTCTGCCTCTTCTATCGGTCATTACTGGTCACTGTAAATGTGATCTTCCATATAATGACTTCTGCAGAAGTTGTCAGAATAATGAAGAAGATGAAACGGTAGCCGATTTTCTTTGTAACTGTCCAGTCCTTGAAATGGCTCGAAACCAAACTCTGGGGTCAATCTACTTCAACGATCGATCTATCTAATGTTCAATTAGATCGACTTATTGCATTTTTGAATCTGAAAAAGGGGTGTGAACTTTAAATTCTCACTAGACTGGACGTTATCTTTACAATACAACCCTATTCAATGACATATTTGTCGTTTCTATTCTAACCTTTCTTTCTGCCTCTTCTATCTATGTAGTGAACAAGAGAGCTCCTAAGAGCAAAGTGTAAATCTGTGTTTTGTAAAATAACTTCTTAAAAAATTCACAACCGATGGCATAACTTTCGAACGCTTTTTTTGTCTTTAGTAACATTTGTTTGTCATTTTGAAGGTTACATATCTGTCAGTTATTCTCCCTGAACTTTATAGAAAAAAGTGGCGTCGATTGCTCACCGAAGCTTGTGTTGATTGTGTTCCACCGATTTCAATATGCGAGGGATGATTTGTGCAGTTCAGATGTTGTGATTTTGACATGGAAGACACAGATCGCACAGGCCATTCAAAAATGTTTGAAGATTATGAATTGGAGGTAGTAGTTATTCCATAAAGAATATTGACAAACTCTACAAAAGCTTGCAAAATCATTAGGAGTTACTCAATTTTAAAAAGTTTGTTAGCTGCAGGATTCATCCAAAAGCTGAAATATTGAATACCGAAGCTTATGATGAATGTGTTCCATCGATTTCAATGTGCGAGAGATGATATGAAGAGTTTAAAAGGTAAGGTAAAGATCGCCCGGTCACGCAAAAAAAATTTCAGAACCAGGAATTGGAAGCATTACTTCAGGAAGATTATTGTCAAACTCTATAAGAACGTGCAAAATCATTTAGAGCTACTCAAGTAACACAATTTAAAATTTTTGCGAGCAGCGGAAATAATCCAAAGTAGGGAATTGCAGACAAAAGACTATTTTGTCCCAAATACTGCTTGAACGATCTAAAAAGAAGTCCTCACTTGCGTAAAACCTAATGTACCGTAAAACTTAATGTAACTTAAAGTGAAAAAACTCATTCTATTAATGGATTTCAATCGCCACATTCGCATTCGAGTTAAATTTTTTAAACTATTCATTGTTGGGATTTATACATTCGATAGCAAAAAAAGAAATCTGGCGCTAACTTTCAATATTCGATATCGATCAAAAACTCTATAGAATTCAAATAGAGCATCATATTATGAAATATCGTGTCCTGAAGTTTGAATAAATCCTCCAAAAACTTGTTACTACGCCTTATCCAAATATATGAAAAAACATACTCCATTTACATAGTGATATCCTAGTAGAAGACCTCCTAATAATGCATTACTTCAAACTAATACCAAAACTACTCCCTTGCTAAAATTATGGGAGTACATTATCCACAACATGGTCCTACTATAATGCAGGCTATGGACCATGTTGTTTTCAATAAACACTAATAAGCAGATCATCTAATAATGTTTACAGGGGAATAGTTTTGAGATTACCTAAATGTATCTGATATTGTAAACATGATCCAATTCGACATTATGTTTGAAGAGGAAGTCATCTTTATTTATAATGTATGTTATGTCATCTGAAGAACTAATCTGTCGACTTTAAAATGAAGTTATAACACAGGTTATATAGAGGTTGTATCTCCTTCCTTCATAGAATATTATAGAATTGCGATATCTCTAAGCAGAAGGAATATATAACAGAGGTTAAGCCTCTATTTTAAATTAGAAAGATTGAGATTTCAGATAACATATAGACATTTAAAAATAAAGGGTTCTTCGCTTTACAATAACGTTTTAAATATGCTAAAAATGGGGTTTTTGGAAGCGATAACTCAAAAGCCTGATGTTGATGATGATGATAAATTCTATCATCAGATTCGCATTATTTTGAAAAAATGCTCTATTGCACAAAACATACACAGCTATTACATACAAAATCAACTGTTCACAGAATATTCGCGATAGAAAAATTTTGCTCGGGAAGAGAAAAGAATTTTTTGTTATTTATTGATAACAGAAACTGTAGAGCGATTATAGCTCGTGATTAAACACAGAACTTGCATGATTCCGACAAACTTTTTTGTCACCAGTTTAGGCAAACTATGAAGTGGCGAATATATTCCCTACTAATCTACTTAATATGGATTTGTCAAAATTATTGTTTTACTTTCATTTTACTGACTGTTTGAATAACCAGTAAGATACCAAATTTTAACTGAACCGTTGTAAAAGTATTCAAAAGATTTTCTATCTATTAAAAGCAGCAGGTTGGTTGGTTGTTTTACTGGCTGACTGACTGACTGAGTGACTGACTAAGTCTAGTTACTTGTTTTTTTTTTTTTTTCAAGTTACATTTTAAAGTAGAGCAAAAATTGTGTTTGAACGTATGTAGTATGAGCATATAATTGCTGTTCACTACCAAACCGAAAGCTAGTTTTCGGCTGCTCTTTATTTTTATTGAAAAATAAAAAAAAAAATTATAAAGAAATGGAAAAACAATTATTATAAAGAAGAAAACTTATGGAAAATTGAAAGAGCATTAATGTGGCGCCTGGTAATTTTGCTAAAGCAGTAGGAAAGATCACAAAGACAAGCAAGTGTAGAGTGATTATTTTGTGCATAAAAAATAAACAAGATATAGTTTCGTTAACGAATTCAATACCATTGAATCGCACTTTCGTTCGCATGATATAAACATGAAAAGATGAGGATGATGATGATGATGATGATACTCATCAAAAAAGTAACAACAGCAGACAAAAACCTCATCATTTGCGATTTCACCGATTCGTTCGAGTGTAAATAAATGAAACAACTAAAAAAAAACTCTTAAAGAGTGAAGAAAATTCAAAGACAAAATCATTAATGATCAACAACATAATGTTGTTAATAAAGATAATGGGGTTGCTGATAATGATGATGATGATGATCGCAGCAGCATTGTTAGCAACATATTAACATTTGCTTTGTGTGTGAGAGTTTGATGTTTTTTCTAAAACCAAATGCATCATCACTTTCGAAAAACATTCGCTGGAATTTAGCATTAAAATCTCATAAAAAACAACTATTTCGAGGTCTGTTGTTGAATATTTAGGCCTATTTTTTAAAAAAATTTTACTTTTTTTCACTTCAGTTGTTTTTGGGGTTTCTTCCATTTGTTTGATTTTTAATAGATTTTTCTCATTTTGATTTGTTTGCTTTTTCGTTAAATTTTAACAAATTAATATTATATTAATTCGCTTTCTTTTTTTTTCTATTCATATTCCTGGCTTACCTGTGCTAAGTTTTTATTCCGTTTTTATTTTCAAAATTTGCAATAATTAATCCGTTAAAATATTTGAATTTGTTGCAAAAAATCCGTTACGTTAATGGCACGTTTTTTCTATGTTTTCTATTTATTCTCTTTCTGCAAATATAAACACTTAAATTTGTTAAAAATTTTAATTTGTTTTAAATGTTGTTTTTATTTTTAAATTATTAAAAAATTCAATTTAATGTTAAATTTGTGTTTCACTGTTTTCTTTTTTCTATTAATCTTTAATTATTTAAATTTTATTTTAATTAATTATTATCTTTTAAATATGTTTGCTTTATTTATTTTTGTTTAAATAAAACACTTCACTTTTTTTCTAAAACGTTATGTTTCTTTATATTATTTTGTTAAAAAAAAAAAAACAAACAAAAAAATTACCGTTATAATTTCAAATAAAACAAAATATTATTTAAGATCCGCTTTTAAGCAGGATTAGTTTTGTATTTATATGGTAAATTGTTTTAACGTTTTTTCTTCTTTCTTTAAATTAGTTTAATATTTTAGATTTTTAATTAAGTCTATGCGCTAAAAGCAGCACCTCTCTTCGGACGAACAGTTAACTTGGAAATGCGGCTTTGCCGTTTTGATATCATGATTTTTATATCGCGTGAAAGTTGTGACCTCTTTCTCTGCTCAACGTTATCAACGCAAACCTGCAATGTTTGCGCTCTTTGTTCGATTGCACTCTCTCTTGTAAATGACTTT